TTTCTGTTATACCCAGAGGATTCACAAAAAACTCGGAGACCTCAATTCTGTTTTTTGAAGTTCCACATCTTATAACCAGTTCGAAAAAGAAGGGAGTGATGCAAATCTGAGTGAAAATAAGATACGTTGCTTTCCAAGTGGTGATATAAACTGGGATACCTATCAAAAAACCTATTTTCACTGAGATATATGCATTCTTTGACAAACTTTGTTGAAAAATGGGACATCAAAAAACAGATTACCATGAATATTGAATTCATTCAACCCCGTTAACCAACGGCCCTGAAAAACTCCTCTATCGGGGGAATGAAAATACTCAAGCGGCCAATTAATGGCAGTCTCTGAAAAGTCTCGAGCCGAAGTTATGCCATGAATGCAGTACATCTGAGTACTTGCTTCTACCCACCAGGAGTCCTGCAATGTAATAAGCGGCATACTGATGGCTCTAGAGAGGCGATCGGTTGTCTTTGTACAATAGAGGACCTCTGTTACCGCTCGCCGGCAAGTTTCATTGTACCTTTAGAGAAGCGCAAAAATCATGTTTGCTGGGAAGTACGCTGAGGACTATGTTTGGATCAAGAAGAAGAGTTTAAGGTTGAAAAAAGGTAGTGCATAAGCATCTAAGTCCTTGAACAATATTGAATTCAATGACGGTTAATGAATGCAACGGATTAATGAAAAAGTAGTGTGCATGAATCCACCTCAACGCAACGACACCTACTTACCTACATCTATGTTTTTAGCCAGCTGAACCTGTATCACAAGTTAATAAGAGCCATACAGTCCACGAAACAAACATCTATATTATCCTAACCATGTTCGTCTAAAACCCCTGAAAATAATCAACCTTTATTAAAGGGCCTTCCGCAGCGATTATTATTTCAGCTGCTGTGAATTATTGTTGCTCAGTGTTCTGTAGTCGAAATAATCTATCATCATGATTATGGAACGGTTGCCACAACCCTCAACTTATTACGGAACAACTCTTAACAGTGTGGATGCTCTCATGCATAATTAAAATATCCGTTATGAACAAGGGATGGTGGTTTCCGAAGAACAAAACTATGCAACTCCAGAGGCCCAATAAATTTCGTGTAATGGTGTGCATGCCATAAATACCTATAGTTTTGAGGCTCTACTTCAAACTATTGAATATTCAGTTGAGAGTTAGGGGGTGTGTTTCAATCAACATTTCCGGCGTTTTTTTATGAATATTTTCGGCAGTGAAATTGGAGTTGAAGATTTGTACATGCTGCATACACGAAACTGATCGACCAAATGAATTAATACATTAGTATTTTGTGTAGAATAAATATGTACCAAGTGCATAATATATAGATTGTCCCGAGAGATTTATGCTGCCCGATGGACTTGGTGGTGCATACGAGATTTCATTTTTCAAAAAAAATCATCTTATCTCATTGAGAAATCGATTTTAAAAAGCGGTTCATTGCTCCTAGCATTTTTGTTTAATTTTTCTTACCAAGGTAGACAAGGCATTTGTTACAATTCCGGGCCATATTCTTAATTTTTTGTGCTATTTCGAACTAGAAAAAAAATTATTTAACATGCACTGGTTGTGCCCAAACAAAAAGAAAAGACAAAAAGGGATGACAAGAAACAAGTTATTTTTAACCCAGCCCAACACTATATATTTAGAATCATCCAACTATATGTCAGCTAGGGCTAGTTCTATTAATGTGAACCCCCCCTTCATCTTCTCTGTTCTCTATCCATTCAAGATGATTCAAAACAGCAATATTTCTTCAAATATACAGGGTATACAGAAATATATTGATTTCTTCGTAGGGAATGCGCTGTAAATTTTGATAGATGAAGATCCTTTTATATATATATATGTTTGAAATCAGGATAATTTAGGGAATTCAAATTCACCGAAATATACAAGGGGTTTCATTCGAAAAATATTTTAATTTCTGTATACCCTATTATCATCATATTGCATCATTGTCAGAATGAGTGAAATCTGTGCGAGAAATTGTATAAAATCAGTTTTGAAATTTTTTGAATGGGTGGAAAACAAAAAAGATAGAGGGCGGTTCACATTAATAAAACTAGCCCTGTACGGTGTCACCTGTCAATCAAGACAGGGAATGATATGTCGAGAAAAACTTCTGGACAAGAATTTTCAAAATTTCTTAACTCCTTCTCAAAACGAGACAAGAATTTGTTGATGAGACAAGAATGTCCAAGTGACGGTTACAAATCATCAATAAACCGGACGACTTGAATGAAGGTATCAGACAAATTGTTCATACATACATACATATATATATACGTATTGTGCTGGTATGATGAAGAATAGCCTAGTAGTTGATTTCAAAATCACACTTTTGTATCACAAAATCATTGTAAGAATATTGATACCGGGTGATTGATCAGTGTGATCCTTTGAGATATCCAATTGTAAATTTGGGAGAGGTCAGCGATGGATAGTCTTGAAATTCTGAATCAATCACAATATCGCACGGTGTCAGAATATTTTGCTGAATCAAAGTTATATTTTTAGTAAATGTAAGACAAAGGAGATACTGAACTTCATCAAACTAATCAATCACCTTGTATTTCAAATCAATCTGCATGGTCGATGGAAGCTCGTCAAGTATTGAATTAAAAGTTTGGATTTCTGGAAATGGATGATCGCGTTCCAAGTTAATGGCTGTCTGGGTGTATACCGTTCTTGATTCACACATTCTGATGAGAATTACTTTCTTATATCGCAAATTGCAGAACCACTGAAATATCTATTAAGAATAATGATTTAATGGAAAAATATTCAGGATAAACTAACGTCAAACTTTGATTTGTAAAAGAATTGAATAACACTCGATATCTATCGCTTCATATTATCAATAAGTTCTTCATCTAGATGCTGGGTTAGTTTCTTTCCCTAGCGCTGTGAATATCAACCCCAATACTTATGAATATTCAGAGATACACCTGACTATCTCGTACCACAATAAGAAATAATTAATTGAAACAGCAAGCGGATGGAATGAATATAAGTCCGGGTGCAAAAACCGAATTTTTGAAGGGATTTTCACAGGAGTCGTTACGATTTATTTGGGCCGCACTGTACCTCTCCGCCTTACTCGATTCTCACGTATGCTCAATGTACCCTATCAAGTTATCTCTAAATCCCCTCTTTCAACCATACTTCGTGACTAACCATAATTCCCTAATTTCATTTGAGTGGTCGCTCCCTGAAACTAAATTTCGCAGAGAAATCTTAAATTTCATTCTCAAATTATCAGTTTGATTTTGGGATAGAATCCCTTCATTTCTCTCATCTCTCTTCTCTATTCAACTCTAGTTTTTTATTTGTATTCTGCTCTTCTGTTATGGAACCAAATTCGTAGATTTTTTTTATTGCATTACCTCGTTGGTCCCAGCACTGGGACCAAACCGTTACCACACATGATAAGGAATAATATCATCTTATACTTACTTGAATTGACTATTGTAAGGTTTAATCAGCCACTTCAGATAGGTAACTATATTATATTTATGTAATTCATGTAATTAGGCCAATAGGTCTGTTTGGATGAATAAATTAACAACAGAATAAATAAATATATAAATCATTGAGGAACCTAAGATGTCTGAACGCCGCCTTCGATCAAAAAGTAACAATAACTTTGCATTACTAGATTTATCCTGAATAGCTTAAGTCATCAATATATCACACTTGGGTTCTAGCGAAAATGATCACAGAGATATAGGGTGTTAAAAATCGGGATTCTTCAAGTTCAGGACTTTTCACTATTCTTCAGACATTTAATTGGAACAGATAAATGGTGATAAGAATTATGTCTCTTGAATAGTGCATTGTGAATAAAAAGATAGGTTAGGGACATCAAAGCCTTTTCGCTAATAAGGGGTTTCGACACAAACAAATCATATAGGGTTTAGAATTCTCGAATTCGAACAACCTTTATTCCTGTGATATTTCCAGCTAGATACCAATATTGAAGAAATCAGCTATTCAGGGAAAATCTAGTGATGTAATGGAATACAGGGTATCTCATTTGAAATAAAAAAGTCTATGCTATTGTTCAATACAAGCGGTAACGCCGCATCGCTGTAAATGTTTTAGTCCTCCTTTTTTTATACAGGGTGAGTTAATAGTGTGTTATCCTTCGATTTTGATCAAACCGTCAGGTATATAAAAAAAATCGAGTACATAGAATCTTATGAGAACTATCACCTGAAATGATTTCCATATATTTATAGGATTATCGAATTCCAAGATATCGGCTGATAATGGGTGTTTTCGAATGGGACACCCTGTATATTATTGCATATTCGAATTTCTCCTGAAGATCTGATTTCATCAATGCATCACACTTTGGGTCAAGCGGAAATGATTACAGAGATATATAGGGTTTTCAGAATCAAAAATTTTCAAATTTGAGATTTTTTTGTGTCAGAACTATACACTATTGGTCGAAACGGCTTACATGTCCCTATCTCAACGTTTGATTCACTATCTAGTATCTACTGAAATTTCATTGGAAAAGAAACAGAAACCTTGAATTTTTAACCACCCTGTATTTTGTTACAATCAAGTGTCAGCAGATGATGAATCGAAAGTTGAGATAGGGAAATGTGAACCGTTTCAACCAATAATAAATATTTTCAACATAAAAAAATCACAAAGTTGAAAAATATAAATTCATAATATATATTCAATATATATTCTTCGTCATACATGGAATGTTTAAAAAATATTTCTGAGAAGATATGCGATGAGATATAAAATGTTCCGTTTGCGAAAGCAAAAGTTCATTACAGCCCTAGTATATAGCCACTGTACATGAAATAGGAAACTGAGGTTTGTAGGGCACCTCTTGAAAGAGAACAATATTCAATTAAAGATTTCGTTTTGAAGATCCTATTATTGTTCATTATTTCTTAGTACCATTTTGGATTGACGCTAGGCTGTTAAATATCACTTATATATTTCCATTTATTTTCAGGAAAAAGATCAGCTTCCAGACAGTTCTGCGACAACACCATCATCATCAGTTTTGAGCAACTCAGCAACTCAAGCTGTCTCTCCGAATTCGAATCAATCGTTGGAAGATTCTGTGGATTTCAGAAACTTTGAGAGTGAATTGACTAAATATTTGATATCGAAGAAACTGTCACCAAATCTATTTGAAAATAAGTAATTTGTGGAAAAGTGCGTTTAAAAAGTGGATTCACTGTGTTTACATACCTATACTCAAACTAGGTAGGTACTTGAAGCAAATCGAAGTAGTGTTTGCAAATATTCGAAATATTTATTCATGTTATTTGAATGGACGTGGATGATAACAGATATCAACTGACAATGATAAGAAAATTTGAAATTTTGTTTCAATAGATAACTCAAGACATCTTTAGTGGGTTTGAATGAGAGACTAGCAGGAGATAACATACCTAATCAATTCATTAAGCCGTTGAGTACTTACTCTTCAAATCAACAGTTTTGATTGCTTAGGTACCTTTTGAAACTTTGTATTGAAAAAAAATGACCTTGTCAAAATCACATTTTGCGAATTAATCTTGTCCGGAAGAACACATTTCGATCAACCCTGACATTATATTGGATTTTGCTCCTATCCGGAATAGATTTACGGAGTTTACAATTGAATGAATCAATAATCTGATATTTTTTATAAACATGAGTTCGCGAAAGACACACAGGCATAGAAAATTTATTTATCGAATGAAACATATCAGAAATATCAGGAACATGTACAATATGGACTGATCCACATTCGAATTGAAACAGGATGAATTGTTTACAATTGGCACAACTTTCATATAATTCCATATTCAGATAGAGATTATCATGAGAAATTCAACAATAAAGATAGGTCCATACCTCAGGTTCAACGGAAGGATTTCCTGGTATATAACTAAAAAGAAATTCAATTCCCCCAATAGGATTAACTCCCATTTGAGCAATTCGAAATTCTCATCTCTCCTGGTATCATTGAATTCCTTGTAATAACTCATATTCGAATATAAAAAAATCATTGTTCATACGTTTTATGAATGTATCGAATACCTTTATTTGTTATTGAACATATTACATGTGGCACTAAAGTTGTGTTATACTTTTACTAAGTCAATACTATATGCTCCATTCATTTCCATGCCCTTTGTTTTTTTCTGATATCGTTTCAATAAGAATGATATTCTGCAAGTTACTCCACTAATACATTCATGTTGATTTCACTCTACCTGAGATATTCAAGATATCAATGCGAGATATAATCATCATGATACGGACTTCAATGCCCTCTGTTTTTTCTTTAGGAATCAACATGAAAGCCGTTGGGTTTCGTTGTTTGAAACATTCTGTATGCTTTTCGCAATCAAATCTCATCTGATATTCTGAAAGGAATGTAAATAAAAGTTAAGCAGATTATCTAATTGTCATTGTAAATACTTACTCGATATTTAACACTTACAAGAATATCATCGTTATAATATGATTCCTGTTCGTTGAATGTTATAGAGTAGATAACTTTGTGATATTATCTAGGTTTAGGAGAACATTCTTGAGAGATGGTGATTGTATCAATATTTCCCACATATCCGTACGAATTTGTAAATGGAATTCTCGAATAAATAATTTTCTGTTATTTATATTCATCTGTTATTCCAACACCCCATTCTTCTACAAGGTTTCCATCAGGCAACCAGATGACGAATAATCACGTCACTGTGACGGACCTAATTGGTAATTTTTCGTCAGAGACGTCACACACCAATTTTTGACGTCACTATGACGTTCTTTCTATGACGTGATAATAACTTCATCGTATCGACTTCGAGTGAACGTCACTTAGATGGGTAAAAGAAGACGTCAGTTTCAAGACGTTGCAGGGACGTCCTGTCGACGTCCATTTCTCCCAGACCTTCTCTAAACCATGGTTACTTATATATTATCATGTGAAACAGAAATATAACTCATGAAAGCAAATCAACATGCAAGTTTTATTGTGATTAATCAATGTACCCGAAAAGTTGAGGAAAGCTTTTTTTCTAAAAAACTGACACACTGTACATCTCAAAAACCAACAAGCTATGTATATATACAAACGATTGATTAGGTATACCTATATTGAAACCGTCGTTACTCTTATGACGTTGCAGTGACGTATCTATGACGTCTAAAAATCACGTCGGTGTGACGTACCAATTTGGTGAGCTTCGTCATTCAGGAAATTTTTCAATAATTTGCTATTGAGATTTTTGTTGGGTGACAAAGAATGCATCAATATACATTATTCAACAAAATGAAGCCAAATTCGCCAACATCGTTTCCATTGCTATCAAACTATTCTTTGTTTGCTCACATCTCGCCGACACAAACTACACAATTTTCGATACAAATATAAGTAACTGATTGCATTCTGATAAAGATGCGTACGGGAGGATAGCGCTGCTGAATGACACAGGAGGGACCCACCGAGCAGACTCAACAATGCTTAATCAATATTATATAATGTCATCAGAGGCCAGTGGTGTTTCTTTTACGTATCATCGACAAATTTAATCGTCATTTTGACGTCATTATGACGTCAGTCGGACGTCACAGATTGGTGAGTGAATGACGTTAATACGACGTGAGTAATATGACGTCATTGGGTTGTGACTTATTCACGTCATTATCACGTCACGCGACGTCAACTACTGACGTCACCTCGGTCATTCAAGTGACGTAAAAAAGACGTCACTGAAACGTCATCTGGTTGCGTGGGTACAGCTGTATTCAGAAAAAAAAGCGTACAAGTATATTACTCATTCTATTTGCAAAAAAATGGGCTATCGGGAATATTATTCACCAAATGTTGACAGTAAAGTTGTCATAGGTTCTCAAAAACAGAAAGCATTGGCTGAGCCAGTTCAATACAACTAGAACTAGGATGTCGTAAACCTCTCTTTTTAACACTCGTACACTTTTTTATTGAATTCGACTGTGAGTCAGAATGAGACGGACAAAGTTTCTATACGGATTCCATACCTCATTTTGGAGACAAAAGTTACTAACAATATAATATGTCCAAAAAAGCAGCTTATCTGAGGTACAGAATGTCATTTGTACGGAATGAATCAACGTTTATATTCCTGCAGGAGAAAATTTCATACTCAGTGTACCATTACCTATCAATCAATGTAGTCACATGGAGTTTCCATTATTCCAGTGGCGTAGTAATGGTCGTATATTGGGGATTATCGATATTTTCCTAAAATTAATCAAATTCCACATGCCTAAATGTACAGGTCATTCATGGGGTATTAGCGAAAATCAAAGAATATGTCTTGAGGTAGGTGTTATTGAGTAGAGACCCAATTGGCTACGTGACGTAATCGTATAACGCTGATTTTTTATAAGCTAGATATCAAACTCCTGAACATAATTTGAATGTTGAGAGCATTCGAAATAGTACAAATGAGTCAGAAGTAGGTGCACAAAGTCACTTTTTATTTTTTTAAAGTAAAAGCAGCTCTCATTTAACTTGCAATGTATGCATGTAAGTATGTTTGTTTGGGTGGAATCTTTGAATTCGATATCTTCAACCGTTATGTTTGGATGACAATGCATGAATAGGTGTGTGAAGGTATTCTTTGATCCAATATGGCGGACTATTCAAGATGGCGAGATAGTTATGTTGAATGCCCTATCACAATGTGGGTATAAAATGGAAGGACATTCTGAGAGCACCTCGAAAAATGATGAGACGTCATTCTGAAGCCAATATGGCGAACCATCAAAGATGGCGGAATAGTCATTTCGAATGAACACGTACAATTTGGATATCAGATGAAAAGATTCGCTGGGAGCAACCCGAAAAATTCTGTGACGTCATTCTGAATCAAAAATGGCATACTATCCAAGATGGCATAATAGTTATTTCAAATGCACTTTCACAATATGAACGTCAAATGGAGAGAGCTGAGAGTTCTCAACTCAAAAAATAATGTGATGTCATTCTGAATCCAATATGGCAGACCGTCCAAGATGACGAAATTGTTATGTGTGTGCACAAAATGCAAAGTAGGACTGTCAACTATGCCGTTTTTCACTAAGGCTCGAAGCTCTTTGCTGCAGGTCAAGCAAACGTGGCCTTGAGTAGTTTAAAATTATCAGAAGGTCTTCTCATTGAAGAGCTGCCTCCACTGTTCGAAATCAACCGCAAACGACCTTGCAAGAATGATGCATTGAATGAGATGAACAGACTAAAAAACCTAGCCAGCAATAACTAAATAAAAAAAATCATTGAGAGTAGAAGGAGAACTTTGGAAAGAGGGTATTCTTTAAACACTCTGAAAAAAAAAGGAATTAGAATTCTCCTTCGAATTTCAACTATCAACGTATAACCTCATTATTCACTAATTCATATTGATCGAATCGGAATTTCGAAGACTTGATTTCACCAAATTAAACTGGTACTATGATGATAATGAGGTTATAAGTTGGATTATTCCGCAGCATATTGTGGAGGATCCTCAGAATCAACGCATATTCAATGTCTAGGAATCTCGCAAAAAAACATGCGGATACCATCCCAGTGCTGGTGCAGAGTTGATGGAAAGAAAAATGGGCAGGTTGTGTCTATGGTATCAGATGCTGAATTATCATCAAGGAATAAGTCGAGTTTGTTGGCTGGATGGGTATTGAGATCATGAATTCGTGTGGGTTTTTCGATAAGCCGGTCTAATAAGCCGTGAGTGATAGTGAAAGCTTCGGCTCTGGTCAGGTCACCCAGCTCCGTCCGTTTTGTTAGAGTGAACGAGCCTAGCAGTATTGTGAACTTTGAAATTGCCCATGATGATGATTTTTCTGCTGTATGGTTCTGCTGAATGAGGCCAAGCTTCAAAGACGAGAGTTTGAAGAGATCTTCAGTTTCTGGCTATCGAGTTTAACACTCTGGCTGCCGGGACCATGTTTTTATCTCTTCATTACAGGGCTTTGGCAGTCATATGTGACCGACGGTGACTTGGTAGTGATTTTTAACCGACAGCAGAAGTTTCAGTTCGAGACGTGTCATGCGGAAACGACCGACGATGCATTCAAATCTCCATTAGACCTGAATTCGCGGCGTTCAAATGAACGTATGTTTTATTGTATAAAATGTGAAAAAACTCATATCTGAATCTAATCATTGTTGGA